AACTGAAGCCAACAAAAATGGTTCACTGCTTTACTTGACAGACGGGCAGATCATATAAAAGAGCCTGTGTCTGAAGACAGAAGGGCACTGGAGAGGGAAGAAATTATTATCATTAAGTGCATACAACTCCTGACACCATTTAAAGAGCACATGGTTCTCTGTCTACTTAAAACTGAGATGCCAACTAAGTATTTGCCTGATTTTGTACATGCTTGCCACTACAGAGTTAAAATTACATTATAGAGCTGTCTAGATAGAGGGGTGACAAGTAACTTGTGCTCAGGTAGGAGGGTTTTAGTACAACTACAGCAAGAATTAGAGTTCTGTGGTAGGTGCTTTTGTGTGTAGTAGCTGGAATCTGATTTACGTCTGTACTATTTAAAGACAAGTGGCAAAATGTGTTAGTATTAAATTCATGCTGTATCTCTACTGCCATTTGGTGGGTAGCTTTTATTTGCTCTGGCTTCTAATTTAGCAACTATGTACTTTCATAGTATTAGTTGGGGTTATTCCATCCTGGTCTTTTAAAGGATAAAGAACACATGTAATGCATGCACACACATACTCTTACACTTACAAAGCATTTAGGCAAATTAAAATGTGTCCTTCCTTCTTCTCAGTTGTTTGGGAGAGGAGTTAGATGAGCTAGCCTAAAACTTTGCATTTGGAATGGCCAGCTACTGATATGTGGTAGTTGCATTTCTGGTGTGGTGACACATCTTGCCTGTCACCCAGGTCATCAAGTAGCAGAGCTCAAATTTTTTTCTGGTCTTTCTAGTTTCAAGGGAGCTACTTTCCCAGTCCTAACTGAAGGCAGCCTGGCTCAACACACTTAGGTTAACCAAGGAAGAGAGAACTGTGCCAGTGTCTGCCCACCCTCTTTATTTTTATTTATTTTATTTGTAAGGCCATTGCCCTTTTGCAGAGTCCCATGGCCTACATGGAAGCTGCTCAGGAGTGGAGCAACCACTCTGTAGTTCCCAAATGGGGTCTTGACAGCTTAAAAGCATGGGTTCTCCCCACACTGGCCTTTCAAAACTCTTTCCTAACTGAGTAAAATTCAATTTATAACTTCTCAAAGCATTTACGCAAAGAAGTGTGTAGGCAGCTTTTAGTGGTGATGAACACAGATTCCTTCTTTCTCTCCTTGTCTCCAAAGCAGCCATTTCCAATTAGGCTGTGATGAGGTAAGAACACTTTTAAGTCAGGTAGCATGCCTTGCAGAGGCCAGAAATTATTGAAAAACCTGGGAACTTGTTGCAGCCTGGATTCTCAGGTCTCCTTGCATAGGGGAGGACATTTTATGTTCCAGTATTGAGAAGGTATTTTTTCATCATTGCCTCTGAATTTCTTTATCCATGGCAAAGCTTGAGTTTTATAAGCTCTTGAATAAGCAGAAAGATCCTTGTGTGATGTTTGGAGATAAAAGCATGATAAAAGCATTGCAGAAAGCAGGACAATCCATATGCAAACTTCACAGAACTGAAAATACATAATCTGAAATACTTTTCAAAGGAAAGATGAAGACATGTTCTGCACTGGGAGGTGTCAGTGTATGTAAGAGTGACAGCCAAAATGCATAGGTTTTGGGTCAAATTCTTTCGGGCTAATTAAGCAGTATGTATTCTTAGGAGAGGAATGTCTGGTGCAGAAACTTTTACAGCCCCACAGTCTGCATGTCTCTCAGTCTTCAGGTTTCATCATAAATGAACAAAGCTCCATGTATGTATGTGTTTTGTAAGGCCTTGTCTGTCCTTTGGAGAGTTGCCTCAACTCCTGCATCTTAGGGATGCAACAATGCCCCCCTGCAATCTCAAATCTTCTTTTTTCACCATTTAGCTTTTTAACCTTGGCCATTTGTGCACTGCTTCTCAGAGGTTCATTAAATATATTTCAGATAAGTGGGTATACTGATGGGTTTAAGTTGACTACAGAGGAGTCCATGGGGAACAAATAATTAGGGGTCAAAGTTCAAAAACACATTCTTTCTCTATTTTGTTTTTTAAAATTTGAATGCATGAGATTGCAAATGGGTGTTTGTGAGAATTTGAAGTACATCTGAGCCACTGCTGCAGAGACCAAGTCTGGTGGAAGAGGAGTTGCAGCTTTGTTTTTCTGGCAACTGGGGACAGCAAAGGCAAATGCTCAGGTGTGCTGTTACAGATGAGAATGATATTCCTGTTTGGGTAAAAAAAAGCTATCCTGTTTCTGTAACAAGTCATTGTGACATGGAATGAGGAATATCTGTGTCATCTGTGAGCAGTGTGACTTTGCATCATCTGTTTCCCCTAGAAGTGTAGCTTTAGCTTCAGTGTTCCTCTCCCATTCCCCATCTGTATTGTTCAGTGGATTTTTTTATTTTGGTTTGTGCTGCAATCTTTATAATATCCAGATCTATTCACATATACCATTTGGTCTTACAGAACTGGAAAATAGCATCATACAAATTCCCATGTTCCAGAAATAAATGGGCTAAATGCAGCCCTTGGGGTAGCCAGTCTGGCATACCTGAATGAAATGGTGATGGGATCCCAGCCAGGAGCTCTGCTTAGGTGCTTGCTTTTCTTGCTTTGCTTCTGCTTTCTTCTGTGCCATTTTAAACTTAGGAGTAGTTAAACACAGTTTTTGTGCAAGCAGAAGTTAGCAGTCTAATCTCATTTTTGTACTTAAACACAAAACTAAGGTCTGAACTTCTGTTTATGAAGTGCTTACCACTTTCTATATTATTAGTGTACATAATCAGTCAGACACACCTGCTATTCCTTAATTCACCTTTGACTGGAGGGATTAAATTGATCACACAATGTGTATTTGTTGTCAGATAACTTCACTATGGAGGTATTGGTGGCAGATAGATTTATTTCCCCATATCTGAAGGAAGGTAACTTTTCTAATGTATTTACTGTTGCTCAGAGCTATTCACACAGCTTCTGGCAGCAATTATTTTCTGCAGTCTTTGATTTCCACCTAGATCAATTCCCTTCAACTCATTCTCATTTTTGTCAGATTGGTTGTTGCCAGGTCTGCAATTTGCATAGTACTTTTGAAGTGTCTAGAATGAAATGCCTGATTGAGCTGGCAAAAAACCCCAGTCATGGTGTAAGAAATTTGACTTAGGCCATTGCTATATCCTGACATGGATGCACTGCCTTGGGCAGTATTTCCTTCTTGGCTGTGTGTTGTTATGTTTGAGAAGTGTGAGTAGTGGGCTACAAGGAAACTTTCAGTGTTGCAAAACCATAGGTCCAAAAGACTTTATTTTGGGTAATTTGCATGTGACTTGTGTAAAGAACTTTTCTTCTCTCTTGCCCTTTAGTACTCACTAATTCACTGCCATGAACTATTTGTATTTCTTCATTGCCTGGGAAAGAGAAGGCTTTGGGATGACCCAGTTGCCAGTACCTGAAGGGAGCCTACAAGAAGAACAGACTGTTTACAAGGGCATATAGTGACAGGACAAGGGGGAATGGCTTCAAATTGCCAGAGGATAGGTTTAGACTGGATATCAGGAAGAAATTTTTCACTGTGAGGGTGGTAAGGCACTGGAACAGGTTGCCTAGATAAGTTATAGGTGCCCCATCTGTGGAAGTGCTCAAGGTCAGGTTGGATGGTCTAGTGTCTGAGTAACCTGGTCTAGTGGAAGGTGTCCCTGTCCAAGGCAGAGGGGTTGGCGCTAGATGATCTTTAAGGTCCCTTCCAACCCAAACCATCCTGTGATTCTACGATTATTCAAGATGAGACCTTGCCAAATTGGTCCAAATTCCAGTTGGTGGAAAGCAGCAGAAATCCATTTGTACTCTTTCTTTGATTACCAAAGTCATGTCTTGGAGGTGGAAAACACACAGAATGTTGCTGATTTTGATTTACAGTAAACATTTGACATGCATTGGGTCTTTTTCCCCTCTCCAAGCTGCCAACTTGCAAACTGCCTTGGGTAAAGCATCTGAGCTGTAGTAGCTTTGGTAGAGAGAATGCCTGCTAGCCCATGAAAGTCTGGATTATTTGCCTTCACACAAAAAAACTTCTTTTGTGAGAAGTGGCTGCAAGAGAAAACATACAGGTAAACTTACCTTAAATAGTGTTAAGTTACCTCTAAAGCTATGTGTAATTTGGACACTCCAGGGAGATGCCTGGTGGCAGAAGGAATTAAAAAAATGTTTTTTATTGTTTCTGTATACAGGAAAATGTTTTGAATGTAGAAGTGGGCCAAGGGATTAAAAGCATATTTTGTAAGTGCTTATGTCTTTGCTCTTCACAATTTACTGAATATACAAAAAAGAATGAAATTATTAACCTCTCAATGTATACACCTTAAAAGGAAGAGACTTTTCAGTGGTTTGGGCAAATGTTCTTTTACTGAGACTTCTTGAAATTAATTATAATTAGTTTTAAAATTAGAATTAATTTTTAAAATTACTATTAAAAGTAATTAATTTTTTTTTTCTCTCGGCATAATCTGTAGGAACCATGGTGTTTGAATCTCACTAGGCCTGCTCTAGTCCTAGGTGATATCAAAATATATCTGTCATTATTACTGGTGCACAGTTATTAGAGAGGTGTAAGTTTAGGAAAGACAGAAACTGGAAGTAAAAGTGCACATTTACATGATATGTGCTCAGTGCATTATTGCAGTCGAAGGAAACAGGGATTACTTTGAAATGTGTTCAGAGTGCTCTACCAAATGTTTCATTACTGGCTCATATAATTGATTTTGATATGACATCAAGCATTCAACATCAGAGACCAGACTTCTGTATTAAAAAAAACCCTAATCCAAAACCAAAAAATCCAACTGTATTCCTTACCCAAATGAAAGTGGCTTTCACCTGAAGGAAAATCTTTGTTAACTGTAACTTTTAAAAGAGATATTGGCAACATCAGCCTGTCGCTCAGGCAGTCACAGGTAATAATCAAAATGCTCTAAAAATGGAATTTGTGTCTTTGTGAGAGACAGCATGGCAAATAATCCTGTGTTGTGCTCTGAGAACTAACTGTGTCTTCCTGTTTCTAGAAAAGATCAGGATCGATGGCTGCTGATGGGGCTAATTGGAACAGCAGTGAGGTTGCTGGGTTTTTGATTCAGCAGATAATTATGTCTCTCATCAAACTGAAATGGAACCTGGTGGAAAATTACCTGCAGATGAGCAAGAGGAAGTCAGAGTGACATTTTCTGTGTTAGTTTATTAGAAAATGCACAGTGTCAAGTTTTAACTGCCTGAAGGTGCTGCCTGTGGAGGTGAGTGTGGAGATCGGATCCCTTTGTGGTCCTTTGTGTACACACACGCTGGTGTCCTTTGCTACAACTTGGCCTAGAGTACAGTAAAATATCTGATTTTGTTCTTGTTATGGGATTGATGAAAGCAGTCTTTAAAATGCTGTGGCCTTCCACCTTGTATGCCAGAGGCATGTGATGCTTTAGGTCTGGGTGATATCCAAGGGAAGGGATTAACTTTCATTAAGGTACTTAGTGAGTGTGGACCTGGTATCAGACATATTATTTCACTCTATGTCTGGGTCAACTATATTTTCAGTAATAGATTATTGTAGAATTATTAATTTGTCCTTGATGGCTATCATTAGCTCTGTGATAACTGGAATGGTGGTGGTAAAAATCACTGAATGGGTAAAACCAATGTAAGTGTTAAGGCATCTCTGACCCCGACTGCTTGCTTTTCCTCATCTGTAGAAGGAAGCAGATGGTAAAATTTTCACTTGGCTTGTGATATCTATAGTAGATGGTATAAATATTGAAGAGTTTCTTGTGAGAAGGGGATTTTGACCTTTTTTTCCAGCTGAATCCTGACCAGGCAGGGTCAGGAATCCTGACAGCTGGTGCTGGGGGGAGCCTGTACAAGCATCAGTCATGGCATGCAGCCAGCACACTTTGTGCAGGAGGAGGCCAGGTCTGTGCTGGCAGTGCTTTAGTGCTCAGCAGCAGTGGCAAGGAGTTGCCAGAAGTGGTCCCAGCACTCGGTGGAGAAATTATCCCTGGCTCCCTGACTCAGCAAGGGCCATAGCCCAGAGCAAACAGCTGAGGAGGGTGAAGCTCTGCAGATTTGGGGCTGGGAATCTCTCACTGAGGCTGGAGCAAGGCAGATGAACTCCTTGTCTGCACAGATGTGGTGGGATAGCTGACACTGCTATTGGATTGTAGCACTGCAGGGGCTGGATAGAGGCTCTTTGGGAAGGCCACACCATAGTTACAAGTGGGAAAGGTTGGAGCTCTGTTTTGGGAGAAATGAGAGTCATCTGAGAGCTTGCAGATCTGTGTTAGAGGGCACACCAACACGTGGGGTGGTGTTGTGGATGTCTGCTGTAAACTGTGAGGAATTAGACAAAGCTGTCTTCAGATATTTGGAAGAGGTCTTGTGATCACTGGCCCAGATCCTTGTGGGAGTCTAGCCAAACATCTCAATACATGCTGGAAGGACAAGGCATCAGGGTACAAGCAATCCACAAGGTTTCTGGGGTGCATTGATAGCAATTTCCTGATAAGGTGATCAAGAAGCAAATGAGGGGACATACTCTGCTGGACTTTGTACTTGCAGAGAAGGAAAGGCTGATCCGGGATGTGAGGGTTGAGGGCAGCAGTAACCATGAGATTGGGGTGTATGGGATCCTGAGATGAGGGGGAAAAGGTGAAGGACTGGACTTCAAGAGAGCACTTTGGTCTGTTCAGGGATTTGCGTGGAAGGATCCCAGAGGAGATCGTCCTGGAGAGAACCGGGGTACAAGAGGACCACTCACTCATCCATGATGAGGAACCATCCATTCCAATGAGCAAATCAAGCAAAATCATGGATTTACACTGGACAACAACTTTCTATGATGACATGACTGGAACAGTGGCTGTTCTTTATTTCAGCTTTAGCTAGGCTTTCATCACTGTCTCCCATAATAGTCTCATAGACAAACTAATGGTGTATGGATTGGATGTTTGGGCAGTGAGATGGATTCACCTGGCAAAACTGCTGGGCTCGAAGCATTATGATCAGTGACACAAAGTCCAGCCAGAGACTGGTCCTCAAGGGTATACCCCAGGGGTCAGTCCTGGGGTCAAATACTGTTGGATATTTTCATTAATGATCTAGATCATAGGATAATATTTTGGTGCACCCTCAGCAAACTTGCAGACAAAATTTAAAACAAAAGGGAGCAGTGCTTGATAGACCACAACTGAAGCCAATAGCCTCCTGGGCTGCATTCAGACTGTTATCAGCAGGCTGAGGGAAGTGATAATTTCCCTCTCTTCAGCATTTGGTGAGGCCACATCTGGAGTACTGGGCCCAGTTCTGGCTCTCCAGTGCAGTGGAGACATGGATGTGTCCTCCAGTATTTTGTGAACTCAAGATAATGGAATAATACTGCCAGGTACTGAAGGATAGATCTGAATCACTTCACAGAAATGCAAGGGAAAAGTTATTCTGCAGAACAGATGGAAGCTGGATATATCAGAGGAAATATTAGAAGAATGAACAAGTTTAGGTTTTCCATGAGGAAAGCATATATAATCCTCTTGGAATATTATTTCCCTTTTTTTTATATATACAAACTACGTGTATGTTTATAAAATATATAAACAGTGGATAAATACACATGCAAATGTGTATATATGCATTTGTATGTATATACAAGCATACATATATACACACTAAAGTATAAGTAAATAATACATAGAAAGAAACCACACTTTGACTCCAGGTCATCACAACAACTGTTACATTCTTGGTCCTGTTATGTTGTATAATCTGTCCTATTGTATTATTAATACAGAAGGGCAGGAGGTAAGCTCTGACATCAGTACAAACATGCAATTCCTGGCCTGGAAGATTTTCCCATCTGAATATCTCCTTTGGCTGCAGATGAGCAAAACTTTTTTTGTGCACTTTGCTTTGCTGTTTGTCCGTGCTGCACAATGCGCTAACAGAACACTTGATGGGTTTCTGAGGTCACAGAGTTACAGCCTTCCCAGCAGTGCCAGGGATGTGCTTGACCTGCACCCACAACATGTCACAGCTGAGCTCTGTGGAAGGCAACAAAGTGTGTGGGAGTTGAGGAAGTCTGGAGACAGCACGCCTGTGGTCAGCCCGAACATAAGCAAACAAGCAAACAAACCAAATAACCTAGGGTGACCAAAAGATGTATTTTGAATGTGAGAATGTTCAGTGTGAGAGATGTCCTTCTGGTTAAAATAAAAGCAGGAAACAGCTTGCTCACTTATGTTCTGTCTACTAATAATAGCTGCAAATTCATTAAGGTAATTACTGATCTAAAAAACCCCATGAATTGACTCTGAAAGTCATCATTCACCTTACCCTTATTCACTCCCTTCCTTCTGAAGAGCCTGCATTGCTTATTTTGGTTTTTTCCTATCATGTATCTTCTGCCTGCAGAAATTTGGAGTACAAAAGATGACTGAAAAACAGGACCTGGTCTGTGGGTGCTGATGATCTGGTTATGAGCTTCTGTCTGGGCTGGTGGTTCTCTCTCTGGGTTCTATGCTGGCAAGTGTTAGATGTCCTATGCAACAAGTCAGTAACACGGCGATAAACCACATATCTTACTCTTCCATATACTTGTTGTTTCACTATTTTATTAAAAGAAAAAAAAAAAAAAAAAAAAGTAGCCTCAATTATACAACCCCATTGGAGAGTCTTTCTTGGCCTTTAGCCTAAACCTAGATTCCACCACCCATAACTTGTATAAAAGTGTCTGGGGTGAAATCAGTGGTGGTGGTGATGCAATTTACACTTAGCATGTGGTGTTTATAAAATAAATACAAATGGCAGCTGGTATAACTCATGAAAACTCAGTGTTTGGAAGGGGTCTAAGCCAAAGACCATCCATATAAAAGTTCCTGTTGGTTTTAGATTGATCATTTAGCTGTGCTATGTGGGTATTGCACGTGGCCCAGGTTAGTACTTTATGAGGCACCAAAGGTGTCATTTACTGTCCTGCTGTGCTCAATTTAATTATAGACAGGTGATTAACAGCATAGGTGAGAGAAAAAGTGAATATTTTACTAGACTTACCCCGTAATCCACCAACAGTAGGAAAAGGGAGTTTGCATTTATGCATACGATAACCGAGCAGGTTTAAGCTCTAAAAGCTTAAAGACTGTTTCTAAAGACTGGACAAATCACAGAGGTTCACATGTACACCTTGCCCCACAGACAGCCTGTGCAAAGACCAGAGGCTGATGGGCTTTAGGCATCAGGATGGAGGCTGGGATTTGGGACAGGGGCCCTTGTCAGTCATTTTCCTCTCTCATTAGCCCCAGTATGTGTATAGCAACACTGTCAGGAGCTTCAGTTTTTGTACATTGCCAGAAGCTATATGGGCATCTGTGTTGTCTGCTAGTTCTGGGAAAGTTTGTTTGTGCACAGAGCAGGGTGAGGGTCACACTGAAAAGTTGTCTATAGACACATCTAACACATCAACTTCTAATAATTGTTGACAGTTTCTGGTTTTTTTTCCCTTTGTAGTTCTTTTGCCAGCAGCTTCTCCATCTGCCTTGCCAAAAATCATTGGGTAGTTTGAATGGCACTTCTATTCAATATCATTTTAACATCAAGACATTTTTAGGGACATTTCTGTCATGCATGCTGGTTGTAGCTGGCTGTGAGCCAGAAGGTCCCATGATCCATTTGGGGTGAGAAATAGCAATTCTCAATGTTAAAACTACCAGGATGAGGGTATGGCTTTGCAACATCTGTCTTAGTAGCACTGGCTTAAAAAATACCTTGCACAATTTGCTCTTTCCACCTGTGCTCTTCCCCATCCCTTTTTCATTAGCACAGCTATTCATGCCATGCAGTGAAGGAAAATAATTGTTTGCTGTGTGTTTTAAACACTGGCTTGGTTCCCTGGTTTGATTCCCTGAGTGATGCTCAGTTACCTGGATAACTGCAGTTAGTGTTGTTTCTGAAAAGCCACCTGCCACACAGCTTTACATCTCGTGTAAGTGCTTTTACCTGTGCAAAGTCTGTGTAAAAAAAAAGCTAGTGTCAAGTGGCTTCACACAACAGGGACAGTAATTTTAAAGCCACCTGCAGAAGGGCCCTGTGCGAAGTGCAGGCTGATGGGGTCTGTGTTCCCAGCTGGGAACACAGCAGCCACCAGTGCCCGCTGAGGGCAGCCTCAAGGAACCAGGTGGAGATTGCAAGTTGGGTTGGAGCTGCTTGTTTTTCATGCAGTAGTGCTACACTATATTTCTAGGTGGGGACAAGTAGAATTTATAATCTTTCTGAAGGATAATATTTTTATGCCACCTTCTTGCATACAAAGGAAGAGAATCCCCATCACCCTGCTGATGTCCTTGGCCCTGTGAGGGGGATAGAGGAGGCTTGCCTGGTCCTCCTGTGTAGATCAGAGAGGATCTTAAAATTTACTGTGTTGCAATACAATCAAACTTGGTAACTGTGGGCCAGATTTTGGGTTTTTTTGTTTGTTTTGGAAAGTGACATAATTTCATTTATTCATCAGTCAGAGGAGAATCCTGCTGCACTTCATTATCTATCTGGAAGTGTATTTTGAGCAGAGATGATAAAATTGGTCTCTGCTAAAAGGATATAGATTGTTTGTTGTATTTGTTGGCTGTTTTGTTGTTTTATTTCTGATCCATTTTGGGGTTGGAAAGTATTCATTCTTGAGGTTTGTTCTCCCCTCTTCACCACCCTGACCAAACGTGTTCCTCCACACCAAACATTCACAGTTTCTATTGCTCTCTGGGTTTATTCTTATTCATTTACTTGCACAGAGGTGCAGCACCCTAGGGGATGACTCAAATGTTCAAAAAAGGAGTGCATGGTTAGTCAGAGGTGGCCACAAACCTTCTAGACAATGATCCCAAGGGTTAGCTCTCTCTTTTGGTTTCTTTTGTTTTCTTTGCTTTCAGACATTTGTCTCCAGGAGCTCAGAGGCTACAGCTGGGATTTCTTTTTTTCCTTCGTACTGGGTCGGTAACAGTGATTTGTGAGCCAAAGAGTTGAATCATATTTCCATGAATAAAGTCATCACAGTATCAGTGTGATGCCTTTTCAAAACACAGGAATTAAGAGCTAGTTTAATTTAATTTAGTTGGAACCCTCCACCATTTTTATTAAACATAAACACAACGTAAGTTGCTAAAAGCCTCTGAGAGATTTATTAAGGCTCCTAATTTAAGTCTTGTAGAGAAGTCTTCCAAGATTATACAATGAATAGATTTTTCATTCCACTAAGGGTTTGGATTTTTTTTTCCCCATTTAAATGTAATTTGAAGTGCTGCCTGGGAACACACTGTAATAATTTAAATCATCACACGTCTTCTGTTAGAAGTAGGGCTGTTCTGGCTGCTGTGGTTGTTAACCTGGGAATGGATGATTGAAATGATGGGCTCTAGTCTGATGTGTCACCACACTTGGGCAGACATTAACATGCAATTCTTCACAGGCATTTCATAGACTACCATCATCTTTGCAAAAGAGACATTTAAATCTCAGAGTCAAGAACCTGATAGTCTTTAGTAGCTTCCTCCTTTATGTCAATGGGACTTTGCATATTTAAAAGACATGTTCAGCATTTTCCATATTTAAATCTGTTGAAACCAATCTGGCTTTGCTGCTGCACGCTGGCTAAGTCCTCCTCTGCCTTTAACTGGTTTATGAATAATTTATCAAAAGAGTGCTCTCAATTATACAACATAACTTTAGTTCTCTCCTGGGCTGTGGCCTGAGCCATGGACACCATTGGCATCCACCTCCTGATCTATCAGCTGATAAGGAAGTGATGGGCAGAGATGTGAGGCTCTGTGAGGGCCACCCCACCCCTGCCCTCAATGCCCCAGGGGTGCCTGG